AAACGTGGCAAACACTCCGTGCAAAATCGGGACCACTATTTCCACCTAATAGACATATTGTTAAAGGTAAATGAGTCTAGCAACCCATCCATTTTAAAAATCCATCTCGGGCTTTCTTGAAACCAAGTTTTATTTTATGGGTTAAAGCTGTGAATTCTTGATCACATAGTGTTGATCGTGCTTCATTAAGCTCCTTTTCAAAAATGATATAAGGGTTAATAACTGCGCACTGCAATTCACCTAGCCAGAATGAAACTTGATCAGGAAGCTCATATGCACGGTATCCAGGAGGAAGGAATTTGGACTTATTATTTTTTGGTATTCGAGATATATTATCAAACCTAGTTAGAAATTCAAAGAATTTCATTTAGAAAAATTGTCCAAATTGCACCATGCACTTTATCTGAATATTAAGCTTCTTATTGTTTATTCATTCAACGAAGACCTTCCACTGTTTAACATATCCATTAGGTATGTTTTTAAATTGATCAAGTTGGTTTATAAACCAAGTACTGAAAAGGCAATGAGCATTATAATTTTCAAGATACTGATTTGCAGTTATTAATTGGTATTGCCATCTGCTCGAAATAGGCTTTTGATATTTTTTTAGAGTATACTGCAGAAGCGTATAGTATAGCCTTCTAATTGTGTCAGATTTCATATTTAGTGGACAGTCTTTATTGCTTTCACCATAACCATCGTGTAAATAATGGACAAGCTGAAGAAGATTAAAAGGATGTTCTCGGAGCGATAGTCCTGACACTGTGTTTAACTTACCAAATGTAGTATTTTCAAAAGCAACCAAGGCTATTTGTAGTGCATGTAGACCACATGGAATTCTAAATGAAGATGCATTTGTTTGTGAATTAAATTCCACCACGGCACCTGATTTACTTCCTGACATATATGCCATATTATCAGTAAGCCAAAATCCACATTGTCTTGGGTCTAACTTATTTTTCTCACATGTTTCTTTTACAGTTTTTGCTACAATAGCTCCACTACACCTATTTAAATCTACCATTTTTGCAAGAGTAGCCACTGGTTTATTATATTGTTCACTCCAATGTAAAAAACAAACTAAAAACGCTTTCTTATCTCCTCTTGTACTTTCATCGGCCATTACACCATATGAATAGGACAGTAGTTGCGAGGGTCTTGGCCGATTTTGCTTAAGTGATACAGCAGAAACTTCTTTATTCCATCGCGAAAGAGTTCCTGTTGATAATCCCTTACCTGATGTTTCTCCAGTGAAGAAACTTATCGTTTTATTGGTACATTCTGCTGCTGCTAAGAGCGAGACAGTCCCGACATTACTTATATCTGTTGCAAGTTTGACAAATTTAGCTGAGTATTCATTTTTATTTTGTTTTATCATTTTTTTGCTGCTATATGAAACTGACTCGGTGTGACCTTCTTTGACTTCTGAGTAATAGATTGAATTTTAGAAATGTTTTTTTTTTTTGTTTTCTCGGCCCTTACAATTTTCATGCGGGAAGATCTAAGTTTATTATTCGAGCTTTCTAATGCTTTTGCTAATTTTTTATTTTTGGTTTTTAATTTTTTAATCTCATCCTGAAAAGCAGCAGCTGACGAATAATGTTTGAAAAGACCGCTGTTTACGAAATCATTCACTTTATTTTGTATATATTGTGATAATATTTCGCCTTTCATATTGCCTTTAAAATAGACCATCGAGTTTACTAAATGCTCGATTCTCAAAACTTGCTGGTCCGGTAAGCTTTTTATTTTATCGATCAATTTATCGAGCTTTTTTTCAATAATGCTTTGCCGTTTGGGAGTAATTGAGTCTATATAATTTCTAATCTCTATTAATTCTGTTTGACTCAAAGAATCAATAAACTTATAAATATCATTTTTTATTTTTAGTTTTTTAGATTCGCAATCTTCAGTAATGTTCAATATATGCTTTCTTTTTTTTGTATAGCGGGTCATTTTGAATACCACAGCAATATTAAAAACTTATGTCAATTGATAGTAATAAATATCCAAATTAGGATTATTTTATTTTTAAATGCTCTATTTATATCTTATTTTTACATAATAAATCAAAACAATGAATTTAATCTAATATAACAATTTAAAAAATCAACATATCCTTTCTTTTTCAGTTTTTATGCGCTATTTCACGACTCTATTAAAAATCACAAATAAATTTTAAATAAAAACAATAAATTGGCTAAGTCCTTATGCTGTATTGTTCTAGATGAAAATGAAGATGTTATTAATATAAAAAAAAAGTTATACCTTTTAAACTATTTATTATATGATTTTGCGCAATACGTCAAATGTATGCTAAGTATCTCGAGCGAAACACAACTAGAGATGTACTTTGCGCGAAGTAAAACTAGCATATATTCCACAAATCATATGCCTTCACGCGAAGTGTGAGGTGACCTCACCCATAATCACTATGGTTTTCTCAATTAAAATTTACTTCGTGCGAGATATGATGCAATTTTGCGTGATGATATCATCATCTTCTACGAGGTACACTCTACACACAACTATAATGTAATTTTATATGTTTATTTTAAAAATAATGTTACGCGCATATACATATCTACTCTACGTAGGGATTAAAAGATGAGTGTTATTTACTATTTAAATACCTGCTACGCAATTGAAAAATTGATTTTTTAACGATATTAATAAAATAAATGAAAAATGTCTCAACATAGTTTTATAATTATACTATTCATATATTATTTGCAAGTTACAGAATTGAATTTGCTTTACTAGAACGGGAATTAGAACGTTTTGAAGATATGTAATTTTTTATAATTTTTAATAATGAATTTTTATGAAAAATCACATATCTTCACGACATTCTAACTCCCGCTCTAATAAAGCAAATTCAATTCTATTACTTGCAAATGGTATATGAATAGTGTAGTTATAAAACTATATTGAGACATTTAAAAAAATAATATGCAAATATTTCGGATCTCTAAAACTTCTGAATTGTAAATATTTACTATTTAAATTTGTAATTAAAAAAAAATATTTTGGTTTTTTTAACTAAGTTATATTAATAAAATAAAAAATATCTCAACATAGTTTTATAACTACATTATTCATATATTATTCGCAAGTTATAGAATTGAATTTGTTTTACTAGAGCGGAAGTTAGAAAATGTAATTTTTTATAATTTTTATAATAAATTACTATAATGAATTTTTATAAAAAAACCACATGTCTTCAAAACGTTCTAACTCTCGCTCTAGTAAAGCAAATTTAATTCTGTAACTTGCAAATGATATGTGAATAGTATAGTTATAAAACTATGTTGAGACATTTAAGAATAATATGTAAATATTTCGTGTCTCTATAGTTTAAACTTTTAAATCGTAAATATTTTACTATTTAAATTCGTAATTAAAAAAATATTTGGTATTTTAACTAGATTAGTAAAATGAATTAAAAAATGTCTCAACATAGTTTTAAAACTACACTATTCATATATCATTTGCAAGTTATAGAATTGAATTTGCTTTACTAGAGCTGGAGTTAGAACGTTTTGAAGATACGCGATTTTTATAATAAATTACTATGGTGAATTTTTTTTAATAAAATGATCGACAAAAATTCAAAAATCCTACATAGCGTAAATTATATATAGTGCTGCACTATGATAGTAAATCATTTGATATGCAACACCCCAGTTACATATACCTCCGCATATATCATCTGACTTTAAACGAATTGTCTGCCATCAAAACGAATTGTCAAACGAAACTGAATAGATATTCAGAAACTACACCTTTCACTTTATATACAGTAAAAATAATCTGGGGAACAGACAAATAATCCAGAA